TCGAGAATCCTCCGTACTGTTTCCCATAGTGGCTGCATCAGTTTACAGCCTCACCGGCTGTGCACAAGGGCTCCCTTCCTCTACACCCTCACTAGCACTCATCTCGTCTTTTAGATGGTGGCCATTCAGCAGGTATGAGCTGAGATCTCATTTCTAGAAGCAAATTCAGGGCTACTCCAGTGAACACAAATGGTAGGAAAGTGGAGCAGCCTTCTTGCTGATAGGGAGAAAGTTTGGGTGGTCTGGAGAGAAGGTCAGAACAGCCTGAAGGCGGGTCCGGTGGTCGTGAACTCCCTCAGCTTTTGCTTGTTTGGGAAGGTCTTTATCCCTCTTGCGTTTCTGAAGGACAGGTTCCCAGGTATAGAGTTCTTGGTCGACAGTTATTTTCTTGTGATATTTTGAACAAACCATCCCATTCTCTCCAGGCCTGAAAGGTTTCTGTTGAGAAATTCACTGATAGTTTTATGAAGGTTCCCTTGTTCGTAACTTCTTTCTCTTGCTGCTCTTAAAATTCTTTCTTTGTCTTTGAATTTTGACAGTTTAATTACGGTGTGTCTCAGTGTAGTCCTGCCTGGGTTCAACCTATTTGGGATCCTTGGGGCCTCATGGATCTGAAATGTCCATTTTTCTCCCCACATTTGGGAAGTTTTCAGCTGTTACTGCTTTAAATATACTTTCTGTTCCTTCCTCTTTCTCTTCTCTTTCTGGAATTTCCATAATGTGAATATTGTTTCTTTTCGTTGTGTCCCATAATTCCCGTAGGCTTTTTTCTCTTGTTTTCCTTTTTTTCTCGTGTTGCTCCTCTGACTGGGTGATTTCCCATGTCCTGTCCTCCAGGTTGCTGATTCTTTCCTCTGCACGGTTGAATCTACTTTTGAAACTCTCTATGTTAAATTTTTCAGTTCAGCTGTTGTATTTTTGAACCATAGGGCCTTTGTTGTTTTGCTGGTTGCTGTTTCCTGATTAACTCGTTTTGTTCATGCATTGCTTTCCTAATTTCGTTTAGTTGTCTGTGTTTTCTTGTGGTTAATTAAACTTCCTTAAGAGGATTATTCTGAACTCTTTGTCTGACAGTTCATAATTCACTGCTGGTTTAGGGTCAGTCATTGGAGCTTTGTCAGTTTCCTTTGCGGGTGTCACAGTTACCTGGTTTTTCATGATCCTGGATTCCTTATGTTGGTGTATGTGCATCTGAGTAATGGGGCTCCTCTTTCAGACTGTGCAGCTTTGTTTTGTCAGAGGAAGTTCCTTACCAGTCAGCTCTGCTTGAGTTTCCGGTGTGTCTGCCAGTAAAGTCCTTGGGCAGTGGGGCCTATTATTAGAGTTTATTTTGAGGTGAGGCACCTGTTCAAGCTCTGAGGATGAGGATGGGGGTGGGGGCTGGGCCAGTGGCCAGGAACAATTGGACAGGACGGTTGGCTTGGTTCCTGCCCAGGGGAGGCTGGAGGATGGGCTCCACGGTTGCCCGGCCTCTGGTCAGGCCTGGTAGATGGTGGGGATGGGGTGTGCATTCCGTCGTGGATGGGCTGTGAGTTAGTGCCCTCCCTGGAGGAGGGTAGCCTGGGACCCAGGGCCTGTGCAGCTCCCTGTCTAGGGACCCACATCAGGCCTGAGTGTGCGCAGGTGGGGCCCTGGTTTTCCTCTGCAGACAGGCAGCTCCACGCTGTGCTGTCTGTTCAGGCACCGATGGACACGGGGCTGTTGAGTGGGCTTCCTGCTCCCTATGTGCTCTGGCGGGTCCCTGGTGGGCAGGCTGTGTTCAGTGATGGGGTGGGGGCACCGTGAGTTAGATGCCCTGCCCAGGGGCAGTGGGGGCAGCAGTCTAAAGCCAGTAAAGCTCTTTGTTGTCTTACCTCGAGCTGACCGGGACCCGAGTTCCCTGGACGAGCAGAGCCACTGGGCCCCATTTCTCCCAGGAGACGTCACCAGCCCTTCTGGTCAGGTAGGTCTGGAAGGCATGTGACCCCAGCGACTGGGCTGTGACTCAGCACCCAAGGCTCGAGGGCCAGTAGCTGCCTCATCTCAGGATCTGATTCAGGCAGACCTGCACCCCATCAGTGTCTGGGCCAGAGTGTACCCCACCTTGGTCTGCAGCTGCTCAGAACCACTGGCTGGATCACCACTTCCTTGGGTGATACAGGTGTGGACTCAGTCTGTGGGGCCCCTGTGCCAGCGTTGCAGGCCCCACCCCGCCTCCACCAGCCAGTCCCCAGCGGTGAGCCCCGCAGGTGCCCCTGCAGCCCTTGTGGGGCAAGGTCAGAATAGGGGCTCCCGCAAAGTGACCCACGATGCTGGGGATGGGGGCTGACGGGGCCCTGGCATCCTCTTTCCCCTCTGGAGGAGCCTGGGGCTCCGGGAGCCCAGGGTAGGGTGTGGTCCACAGTCAGGTGCAGCCTCTTCTCCCTTCTCCTGTGTCTGTCTTGGTCTGTCTGAGGTGCAGGGGGCTTCAGCCTCACCCCGGGGAGGGTTCTCTCAGGGGGTCCTGGTCTTGAATGATCATTAGTACTTGTGAGGGGAGCAGAGTCAGCAAGGACCTAGGTCACCGTCTTGGTGACATCACTGCTCACATACAAGTTTTTAAGGAACACAGCTGTTGTAGAAAGTGAGATTTTTACATTTGCTTTAGAGCCAACGCTGCTGTAATGTTTTCTTGCTGAGCTTATAATTGTTGTGAATTGCTTATATGAAAATAGGGCTGTTGAATAATCTTACCAGAGATTCTTTGGGGTTTGTCAAACTGCTTTGTCTGTTTAGCAGCATGAGACGTGTCACATGGTGGGGTAGGCGTGGCAGCGTCTCTCATGGCTTGACGGGTGGCAGCCTGCGCTCCTGGGTGTGATCATACAGAGTCTCACTGTTCCCAGACAGAGCAGGGACCCCGCCGAGGACAGCTCTCTCAGCCTTGTTTGATGTCTGAGGTGCTTTCTGAAATTCTTATCCCTTAGTAAGTGTATTTCTTAGCGAGAGCACATCAGTGTGTTCTGATTGATCAGTAGTAAATATTAATGGACGAGCTCTGTATGTATAATTTAAACTAAAAGTTAATGATTTTTTCCTTACAGTCTGAGCTTAAATTACTCTTTTTTGTCAATTGTGTATACTACTGTCAAAGGGAAAAACAGTATATAGTATTCATTTATCTTTCACTGACTAAACCAGGGACTGGGTTCTAGTTTTATTCCAGTGGACAGTATGCTTCTTGCTGCATTAAGAGGAGCTCAGAAAATATGTTTTTGACTGTTGAAAAGTCTGCGTGAAATCTTTGTGCACAACTTGATGGATTTTTATGTTTGCTATTCCGTCAGGTGGCTCTGGTGTCCTGAGAGGTTTCAAATATTGGTCTTAGAGGTGGTCTGACCACCTGTCACCACCAGGGCTCTGGCAGCTCTGACCTTTCACTGTCTGCCTTCTTCAGGCACATTCTGCAGCAAGATGAATGTGAGAATTAACACTCACAGACCACTTCTTACCAGTCTCCTCCAAGGATGTGTGTATGTGAGTGTGTGTGTTAGTGCAAGTGTGTGTGTGGTTAAATAATGCTTGTGAGGATTTTAAAACTGCAGAGAGTAACAAGTAAGAAAAGAATATTTACATTAATCCTACCACCCATGTGTAACCACCACTAATATTTTGCCGTTTCTTTCCAATTTCTTTTCTACACGTATGTTTGTATGTATGGATACATGTATATGCGTTGTGTCTTGCCCGAGGAAGGGGCTTTATGAGTATGTTGAAAACATGAATAGTTTAATATGTGTAATAATTTGTATTTTAAAATTTAGGGTAGTAAAGTAATAAATAAATAAATAAACCCCAGAAAATACTCAAGATATTTTATTATTTAAAAAGTGTACTTTTTGACATCTTTGTAATCATATATGCATATGTGTGTATATGGTTATATGTATATTTAAATATCATTTATTTAACTTTCTCCCATATTAATATTACTTCACATTTTTGCTGTAACGATGTTGTGATGTACATTTTACCATCAACTTTAATCATGACTACTTCCTTAGCATATTAATTGTAGAGGAGGAATAACTGGACCATAGAATATAAACTTAAAAAGTTACTAATCCTTTTGGCCAGATTTTTATTAATTAAAAATGATATTTTTACTGAATTACTGTTCATTTAGAAAATTTGGAAAGCAGAAAATTAAAGTACAAAGAAAACTGGGAAGAAATTATTTGTAATCCTGACACCTAAAGGTGACTTCATTTAAGATTTTGATTTATATAATTTTAGTCTTTTTTATTTCCATTATGTATTTTATCAAGAAGGATCATTGTGTTTCCTAAAACTGCTTTCTTTTTCATTTAGTAGTTTATCATTGACGTAGCCTTTCTCTACCATTAGACAGTCTGCTGCAGTGTAGTTTTATGGCCTTCTATTAAAATGACACATCTGTTAAGTGCATTTAATTAGCCCTCCCCTGGTGGACCTTCAGTTTGTTTCTGCTGTTTCACTGTGATGAAGAGTTCTGTAACTGCATTAAGAGATTCCTAAAAGGAGAATTGCTGGTTCAAAGTATCTAAATAATTTTTAAGGCTTTTGACATACGTTTCCACAGTGCCTTTCACCAGGTTGTACCAAGTGACATTCACACCAAGAAGTATGAAACTGAGGGTATAACAAAAAAAGTATTCAAGTCTTTTGCCCTAAAATTACCCAGATCATCTTCAAGAAAGCCTGTGCCTGTTCCCTCGTCTTGGGAGGCACGAGGGGTGCCTGTCCGAGTGCTCCTCAGCAGGGTCCTGAGTGGGATGCATTCGCTGTACCCCACGTTGTTCTGGCACAGGAAGCGCTGAGTGCAGTGGTCACCCGATTTTACTAAACACTCGCAGAAGGTGGGCGATCAGGCTCTTCCTGTTAGTTGCAGGGTCTTCTGATGATCAGTTTAAGTACTGAGCCTGCTTCTTGGATTTACCGTCAGTTGCATTGTTACTCTGTCACTAATTGTCTCAAGAAGAGCCGCTGTGTTTCCCTTGCAGCCCCCACGGCAGCCGCGCGGGAAGCCTGGTCCTGGGAGCAGTACCTGCAGGAGCAGGAGGCGGTGGCCGCGCCCGTGGAGCTGTTTTCCAAGGTGAGCCGCTCGAGCTCATAGGTTCTCGCAGAATCAACACGTATGAGAATTCCTGAAGATGAAATCGTCTGTCTAGATGGAACCCCAGCTTATCTGATCAGTAGGCTTTGCTGGAAAATGACATGACAAAGCTAATCACAGCCTCGATGACTCCGTGTGTGCTCTGGGGCTGGCCCACCTGTGTGGAAGCCCCGTGCCGCTACCTACCAGCTCTGTGACCTTGGGCAAGCCCTTCAGTCTCTCTGTGCCTCGTGTCCTCATTTGTAACGTAGGGGGATGGCTGTACCTGCCTTCCTGGGTTGCTGTATGTGAGAAGGACACAGGGTGTAACAGGCACGTGATAAACACCAAGTGGGAGCCTTTCTTCTGCTTAGCTGATCTCACTTGCACACGTCCGCCCAAGGGCCTGGTGTGAGGCATATGTTTTGATGTGTTGCCTAGAGGTGTGGGTCAGGCAGCTGGTTAGGGAGACAGCGAACCCCTAAATCAGAGCCTCCCTGACTGTAAGGGTGCCCAGAGCAGCCTCAGTGGACTTGCTGGACCCAGTGATGACTGGCCCCAGGGGCTTGCAGCTTTAGGGACCATCTCTACCCAAGGTACCCAACTCCAGAGGGCAAGAGTGGGATTTCTGTCCTGAGATAAATCCGATGGAGTGTAGTGACCTGTGTTGTGACCGGCTGTGGGACGTGTGACTTGCACCTTGACGTTGTGAGGTGTGACACAGCCCTGGGCGCTGAGGGCACGTTAAGGTAGCGGGTCCCCATGGAGGGTGCGGGTGGCGTGGACGTGAGCGGGCTGGGCATGCAGGCCACGTGGTTCTTTGGCTAAAGACAGGACTTAGAACTCCTGAACTCTGGTCTCTGTCTGCTGGGAAGGTGCCAGTGAAGCATGAGCACACGGGGAAGTAGACACGCCCGATGTGGTGGCCGCCTTCGTCTTCGCTCGTGATTTCACGAGTAGGCCGGTCCTGCTTCTGGGCTCTGTGCACAGAGTGCCACGTGAGACTGGGCTGAACCACTAATGTGCTTACAACGTGGTTTCTCGAAAAGTCTTGCCGTCTCATTGGGGTGTGAGATATGCACAGAAAATGAGATAACGGATAATGCTTTGAGGAAGAGTTGTCAGTTGTCTGTGTAATGTTCCTTGTCCTGCTCTGCGTGCCCGTGATGATGTCCGATTTGTCGTGAGGGTGGGACATACAGTGCTTCCCTGACTGCACATTCTAATACACACGTATATGCATACATACACTACATATAGGCGATATATGTTACATTTATATGCCAAGATGAAGTCAGCATGATTCATAATTGGAAATTGGTTTCGGTAGACTAAAAAAGGCAGGTGCTTGATGCCAGCCTCCCAAGAAGTAAGATCAGACTGGACTCAGTTTTGTGTTGATATTGTGCCCTTGACAGTGAATGTTCATCTCCATTATTATAACAGTAATATTATGGTAAGTGTTCAGGTCAGCCAGCTGAGATGGAACTCTTCAGCTTTTAACACTGAGAATGTTGAAGGTAAAACTTGAAATAGTGTGCATATCCTGAATGGAAAGCTACTCGAAAGACAGTGAGTATTGTTTTACTTTTAGTGTGTAGTTTCCATCCTGATACTCAGCTTTTAGAAGATATGCCAGTGACACACACACGCCGTGTTAATTGTCATGCAGATCAGAAACGGATTCTACCAAGAAAACGTGGACGTTTTTAAAGAAGAGTACACTTGTTTTATTTGCAGGCATGGTTTTTGCATGTTGAAGGTCTATTTTAAGTTTCTTTTTGTACAATTATTTTTTATAATTTATTTTACCATCTGGAGTAATGAACCTACAAGGATATAAACATCTTCTGTTGACATAGAAAATTTAAAAACATTTTTCTCTTCATTACTGGTGAAATGTGCCTATCTTGATTTGATTTAAACTTTAAAATGTTGTTTTCTTTTGCTTTGAGGCTGGCTTTCAAAATATCTCTGTCCTCTGAATTCCTCCTGCTGGCTATGGGGAGGTTCTATTTCCTCATCCTTTCTAGCTTCTGGGGGCCACCTGCCTTCCTTGGGATGTGGGCCCACATCACTCCACTCTCTGTTTCTATCCTCACGTCTCCTGCCCTGGTCCTTCTGCCTCCTGCTTCTAAGGACGCTTATGATGGCACTAGGCCACCTGGACATTCCAGGACGTCCCTGCATCTCCAGATTCTCAACGTAATCACGCCCACGAGGTCTCTTTGGCCATGTAAGATACCAGAGTCACATGTTCGGGGTAGGATGTGCACGCCTTTGGGGGCCCCTGTTCTGCCGGCCTCAGGTGCCACCTCTTCCCCATGGCTGCTGCTGGTCCATCCCCACCCCCAGCCTGAGCAACATCTTGTGGGTCAGCTCCCTCCCGTTATTCTCCCAGGACCTCTGCTGCCCTCATCTGTGGTGAAACAAAAGAGTGTAACATCGTCCTTGGTCGCTCAAGGCATCGGTTCCCTCTGGCTGTAGCCAAAGTGCTCTCCTGCATGTCTTGAGAAAAATTATATTCAGATGTTTGATGGGAATTTCAAACACAAGACATTCGAGGGCAGGGGAAAAGTGTGCTTAGAACCAGGACATGCAGTCCTTTAGGCTGGTTGATGGCTGGGACTCTGGAGAGAAGAGCGAACGCCCGTTCATGTCCATTTCTCCTGTTCTCCAAGCCCTGGATCTGGGGCAGAACTGAAGATGCGCCCTGATCTGTGGCTCAGAGCCCTCTCCCCCTCTGAGAACCTGCCCCTCTGAGCTGTGGGACTCAGAGCTCTGCGGCTGTGAGGCAGTCCGGCGGGTCTGAAGCAGTGGAGCCAGCAGACGGATCAGGGTGCTTTCTTCTTCTCGGGGCGGGGGAGCCTGAAGCCCTGGCACACAGCTTATCTGCAGCCCCAGCTGGAGGCGGAACGTCATGTTCAGAGGAAGGGAAATTAAAGGAAGAAAGTAGTGGCATTTGGAGTCAAGGGTGGACCGTCCCCGGCTCTTCTCCCGCAGTTAAAGCACATTGATGTTACACGTATCCTCGTCCCCTTTCCCCAGGAGAGTTTAGTTATTCAGGAAAAAATATATGGGTTCATTGTTTTAGACACTAGATTCAGAGGATTTGTAGGATCCGCTCAGTGATGGCCAGTGAGTTATCAGACAAGTTTAGGAGTTATTTTTAAAAGTTCTCTCTGCGCAGCTCTTTGTTTTATACCGTGTGGGTTCTTTTCCTTTGTTCATAAGGATCTTTGTTAGTCTAACACTGCCTGAACTCAGCAGTGCTTCACCCACTCTGGTCTGTGCTTGCTCTCTGTTTCTGAGACTGTAGTTCAGTCAGTGGTTAGGTTAGGGCCACTGGAGATACAGCGTCTGTACAGACGTGCACACAGATGTGCACACACATGCGCCAAACTGCTCGTCGTCAGTCGGCTCCAGGGGACTGGGAATTCTTGCCCCGAGATTACAGTAGATTCACGAGAGCACAGTAGAAATTACGTTTACTAACTCATGGAAGAGCACTTCTGTTGTGCTGTGGATTCTGTGTTCTCTGTAGAATGCCTCTCGGTCTAATCTTGACGGCAGTTTGGGATTCAGAATTAATCTATGGAAAATGTGCAAAATAACAAGGAAGTGGTCTCTAAAATGACAGTTTAAAAGTACACAAGCAGCCATCCTTCACCGCCATCACTGAAGCGTTGCAGCGGGCTGTGTTTAATTATGTAGGTGATGATTTTTCTCCATCAGTCTAACAAATAGGTGGCAAAAATAGGCACCACTGTGAAGAGGCAGAGTCTGAAGCCCGCTTCGCCGCCCGGCTGGGTCTTCATGATGAGCCACTGCGGTGAACTGCTGTGTTGTGCTTATCGAAGTCTCATAAAGAAAGAGGTCACTTAGTCACTGGGTTGGTCAGTGGTCGATTCCTGTAAAGGACAGCCATGCGGTTCTTACTGTTTTTTTTTTAAGTCTTAGACGCACTTTGAACATTTAATGTGAACTATTGATATTCTCCTTAAAGAAGTGCTTATATTCACTTGCAGACTAAATTTTATATAAAATTTAGGTTTCTGGAATCCTTGAAGTCATCATGGGCCCACCCCTCCTCCACTGTTAGAACAGCCGTATTAAATAAATAAGAGTACCAAGAAATAAATGTGTGTGCATGTGTGCTGTGTGTACTGTGTGTGTTTCAAGTTCTCCATTTTCTCTGTGATTAAAAAAGTAAAGTAGTTCTAATGTTCTTGATAATTTCCACTCTCAGCTCAGGCAGAAATCATCTTTTCTTGAGGGAAAAGCGAGGAAGGTGTTTCCTGGCCTCTCGTGTGCCGGCGTCTCTCGGTGAATAGACTTTGACGATGAAGCTTCGTTGCAGGGGACCTGGGGAGGGCACTGAAGCTACAGCGGCGCACCAGAAAGTTGGAATTGGTACAGAAATAATAGTTTTCATGGCTGTTCATCAAGTCCTTGGAGGTATCAGTAGATGATAATAATGTTACAGAAGTCAATGAAAATCTGGAAATTTCTTTCAAGTCTGAAAGCTGAGTGGTCCGTCTTAATTCCCAACCTTCCTCCTCCTCTGTCTCCAGCCGCTCAGGCGCATTTTGCCTCCTGAGCAGGTACTGAGCCTGCCCTGCCCCCGACTCCCAGCTCTTGCTCGCGTTGGCTGAGGTCTTTGTTATCATGTGTCCAGGCTGTTGCAGCATCCCAGAACACACTGTAAGTTTGCAGGTGAGGGCACAGGCCAAGGTTTGAATTCGGATTCCAAGTTTTCACTGACTAGCTGTGGAAACGGAGCAGTCCCTGAACTTCTCTGAGCCTGTTTGCTCATATGTGAGGTGGGACTTGTGCCAGTTCCGAAACAGGGCAACAGCCACTGTGGCTTACATGAGCTGAATTGGAGGCTGTGCAGGGTCCACGGCAAATTCTCAGTTACTAGTAGACATTAAAAGCCTCCTTTACTGTTTTTCCTTTTTCTCATCTCGCTACTTTTCTAATCATTTTCCACATCACCA